CGGAAGGGCTGCCGCGCTCCCGGCTGCCTCAGCCCAGCAGCCGCGGCGGGCGCTCGGCGGTGGCGTCGGCGGTGCTTGACGCGATGCCGGGCCCTGTGGGCGGGCCGTCGGGCGAGCAGCCGCTGCTACTGGCGGCGCACCCGATGCAGCTCTCCGCCTCCTTCGGCCGCTCCCTTATCCTCGTCACGCAGCACGGCGCTGGCGGCTCTCACGGCTGGCTCGTCAACAAGCCGTCGGCGATCCGGCTCCGGCACGCGGCCAGGCTGCTCGGCCTGCGGGTTCAGCAGAAGGAGCTGGGCCACCTCGGCCGGAACCGCGTGTACGTCGGCGGGCCGGTGGCGGGCCCGCTCCTCGCCCTCCACCCGCACCGCTCGCTCCTCGACGCCGACGCCGACGGCGAGGATGAGTCGTACGACGAGGAGGAGGAGGGCGAGGACGACCCCATGCTGGGGGCGATGAGCGCGCACGAGCAGCGCGGCGTGGCGCGCCCGCGCGGCGAGGCGGCGCACGGCACCCTCGGGCACGGCACCCTCGGCGCGTCCCTCCTCCACCCGGCTGGGCCGCTCTACGCTTCCCGCGTCTCGAGCGCGCCGCTCGCCCCTTCCGACCCACCTCGCCTGGGCCGCTCGCGGAACCTTCTCGGAACCTTCTCGGAACCTTCTCGTAGGCGCCTGGCTTGCCTCCGCCAACCGGCTCGTCAGCGCGCGCGCGGCTTCGCCCGAGGACTTCAAGCTCGTGCTCGGTCCGCCGCGCCGCTTCGCCTCCCACGCCCTCGCCCGCCCCCGGCCCCGCCCCTCCCCCGCCCCTGCCTCCTGCCTCCTGCCTCCTGCCTCCTGCCTCCTGCCTCCTGCCTCCCCCACTCGGGAGAGCGGCGCCGCGTCTCGACGGGGTGGCGCTCCCCTCCGCCGCGCAGGCAGCTCGGCCTGGGGCCCCGCGCAGCTCGACGGCGAGTACGAGTTGGGCGAGTGGTACGGCGCGCGGCCAGACGCCGCCGAGCTCCGCTCCATTTGCCTCGCGCAGCCGCGCCACCGCTTCGGAGGCGGCGCGCCGCGCAGCGGGGGCGTGCCTGTCTGCAGCTCGCCGGCGACCGCTGCGCAGCCTCGCGCCTGCTCCACGCTCGCGTCGAGCAGCACACCCCCTTGCAGCAGCTCGGCGGGCGAGGGTGGCGGTGGCGGCGGCGCAGTAGGCAAGGCGGACGGCGAGAGCGGCGGCGGCGAGAGCGGCGCGTCGTCGTCGTCGTCGCTCGACGAGGCCGATGAGCTTGACGAGATGATTGGACGAGG